CTAAGTATTGGACCGGGCACTGTCCCGAATGGTCCCGCACTTGTGTCCCTTTGAACTTCAGTCATATAATAAATCTCTTATTAACCAAGCTTGCTCGGGACCGTACTGGAAGAATATTAGCCCTCGGTCTTTTTTGTACGGACCAAGCGCAGCGAGGTCAATACTGTTAAGAAGTTGGGCCAATATTCTCCCAGTACGGGCCTCGTGCTTGGTTAATAAGATATATTTATACAACACAAAGGGGCAAGAGAGTGGTAAACAGAAGGAGAATATGTGACATAACAGCAAAATGTCTGAAAACTCCACTGAGGATAGCAAAGGTGGGGTCCTGATCCTGGTTTCCGTTTAGAAAATTTCATGTGTCAAGTATTTAAAAGGGAAAACTTCAAACCAAGGGAATAAGGTGGCGAACAACAGGAGAACATGTGACAAAAGAGCTCTCTATCTGAATAAGGAACACCACAGGCCATCAAAACTTTGGTGCAATAATCTGTAACTCTTTGTTCTGTGTTGCCTTGGTACATTTAGTACTCAATGCAAAGTGTGTGTCAAATATTCCGTGACATAAATTTTAATTACAAAGAAAAAAGTACCCAATGAACAAAGGTTACTAACCTCCATAACAAGAAAGACATTGTTGGATGTTTCCTGAAAGATATAAACAGTCAAAGATAACGTATAAAAAAGTTGCAACTTTTACAATAAACTTAATAGTATTGTTAAATCCTGAACCACATAGCATGACCGCAGTCAATGTTTGTGACAAAGTTGGATTAATCATGATAAAATGACTAAAAAAAATATATAATTTTCCACACAAAATGATCTTTATTCAAAATATATAAGGTAATGAGTCAAATTATACTCCAAACCCAGAGGTAGAGATAGTGAAAAAAATTTTGATCCTAAACGGTGGAAAGTACAAGTTTTTGATAACGGTTTCTACTTTGCTCTCCATTTTACTTGAAAAGAATGGATTTAACGAAACGAAACGAAAATTTTAACTAGTGAAATCACAGGTTACTAGTTTGTTTCGTTTCGTTTCGTTGAATACCATAAGGCTACCGGGTTATGGTATTTAACGAAACGAAACGAAAATTTTAACTAGTGAAATCACAGGTTACGAGTTCGTTTCGTTTCGTGGAATACCATAAGCCTACCGGGCTATGGCTGATTCGCGCTTTGGTTTTGAAGCGTTACTGTAGCTTTGAAGGATTCTGATGCATGGTGGCCGTTTACTTTTGTCCTGGTTGCCACAGGAAGCAAATCAAACTAAAAAACAAATACAGATTTTTTTAAATATTGAATAACATTTGAGAGTTTAACGAAATTTAACTTACAATTCGTAGGGCATTCCATACATCTTATAGATCTTTTCGTGATCTCTGGCTGACAGTTATTTTGAATATTGGATTTTTCGCGACTTTAAATAAAAAGATGGGCTGGTCCCCAGACTCCCTGGGACAACGCTCTGGCGCCAAAACAAGAAAACACTAAGTGCAAATCACTCCGCCCGAGTGCGAAAATTAAGAGTTTAACTCTAATTGAGAAACGAATTGTCATTTAAGATTGAAAGATTCATGCAAGTGTTCATTGTTCTTGAATTAATGTAAACTAAAGTAGTCCTGCATCAAGCTCTTCCTTTGTTGCAATCAAACACAGTTTGTGAATAGGTCTGTCGTACTCTCCGTCTCTTGTTTTGATTCTCACTTTTCGTACAAGGCTGTCGTTTCCAGGNGTCTGAATGTTGTCTCGCACGCGAAACCACTTGTTTCTTGGTAACAAGTTTGGGGCGAAATACTTCATCCAACTCCTCCAGAAATCAGCGACTCTGTTTTGTGTGCTTCTGAGTAATTGTCGCGGATTGGTTCTTTCCTCTGGTTCTGGCTGTGGCGGTGGATTGTGATGGCCTAGAAGAAGGTCGTTGGGAGTGATCGGTGGTACTTCCCAGATATCATCGGAACTGGGGTACAGCGGTCGTCCGTTGACTAGGAAGGTAACTTCTGACAAGAATGTTCTCCATTGTTCCTCGGAATAGGCTTGGTTTTTGCAAGTGGCGTTAAGTGCTTGTCTGACTGACTTAATTAGGGTCTCAACAACTCCGTTTTGGTGACTCGCATGTGGTGTGTTCCACTGCCATCTGAACTCGCAGCCAAATTTATCGGAGAGGACACTCTTTATCTTAGGAAAATCCCAGTTCTGTGTGGTTTCCTTTAGGTAACCTTGAGCACCTACAAAATTTGTTCCATGGTCTGACCAGCATACACTGGGGTATCCCCGAAGGCAGGAAAATCGTCGAAAGGCCATCAAGAATGCATCTGAGGTTTTATCAGTGACCAGTTCTAGATGGATCGCACGTGATGTCATACAGGTGAAGATGATCACTTGGGCCTCTTTTAGAGTCGTGCGGCCAAGTTTAATCTGTATCGGTCCGAACATGTCCATGGCAGTGTTTGAAAGTGCCGGGAAGCCAGCTGCTACTCTTAGGTTTGGAATCTGTCCCAGGAGCTGGTTGAGGGGCCTTTTTCGTAGTTTTCTGCATGTGACACACTTTGAGGTGACGGTCTTACCCATTCTGCGGAGTCCAATGATCGAACATCTTTTTCTGGCCTCGTGCATTAAACTCTTATAGCCACAGTGCCCACGTCGTTCGTGGAGAGCACACATAAGCAAGATTACAAACGGGTGGTCTTGTGGTAAGATAATAGGCTTTCTCAACTCTTCAGGGAGAGATCTGATAGCTTCAAGGCGACGATGCGCACGAAGAAGGCCGTCTTCACCCTTCTTTGCCACAAGTTTCTAATCCAATCTCCCTTCGTCGTCGGGAAATTGTCTCCACTTCAGAAGACGGGCCTCGGCAGCCTTCAGTTCCGGAACTGAAATGGATCCTGACTTCGGGTTCATTTTTCGTGCGTTGCGAATAAAACGACAGACGTAGGCAAGAGTTCTCCGTATTTTGGAGTACGTAGAACAAGTTTTCAACAAATGTGAAAGGATAGGATTTCCTTCAGATTCAGGCTGATTTACTTCAGAGCATACTTCTGCGAAAGCATTGTAATGTTTACTGGCTTTTTTCTCTTTTCGAAATGCTTTCTTCCCTTTTAATGCTTTCTTCTCTTTTAATGCTTCGGGATCGTCCACGTGAGCGTTAACTTGGGTGTGGTCTTGAAAGTTGGGCCATTTATTTCCCGGCAATTTTAGAAAGGATGGTCCCTCCGACCACTTCACGAGATGATTAAGATGAATTCCTCTCGTTAGGGCATCTGCAGGGTTATGGTTAGACTTGATGTAGCGAATTTGGTCTGCCCCAATTGACTCTTGGATTTCAGCCACTCTGGTAGATACAAAATACAAAGGGTCTGAATTCCCGTGGTGGCGTTCTGACCCAGGACAAAACGGTTGTTGAATCGACCCAGAAGAATCTTTTCCAGTCTTGGGCTTTTGTCAACTCCAAGGCCTTTACGCATGTAACGTATATCCTTGCAAGTGCTAAAGAGCCCAACAGTTCCAGTCTTGGGATGTTTTCTTCATCAACGGTGCGATGAAAGCCTTTATCATGACTGGAACACATTGGTAGTCTCCACCAGTAAGTTTCCATCGTAGGAAGATTACTGCACCATAAGCCTGTTCCCCACCATCGGAGAATCCGTGAATTTGAGGCACACCCACTGCACTGCTTGGTTTTAGCTTTCAAACTGAAATGACAGGAGATCATTTTATGGTCTGAACATTCTCTAACCATGTTTGCTGAATACTCTCGGGGAGGATGTCGTCCCAGCTGTAACCTGAACTCCATAGTGCTTACAGATCAATTCTGAACTTGATAGTAACGGGTGAAACAAGTCCGATGGCATTCCAGAGTTGAGCGAGAAATTTCAAGCAGTTTCTTTTGGAGAAGCTCTCCAATAGGCCAACCACGTTTTCTTTCTTGAAGGTAAACTTATCTTCTTCATCCCATTTGTGGCCAAGCAGATCTGTAAATCTTTCACCGCCAGACAGATCGATTTCAGAGCAGCTGGAGTGCCACGCCTTAATTTGAAACCGGCTTTTTCCGAGGATGGTGTCAATTTCTTTCGTTATTTTCTTGGCTTCTGTTGAGTTACTTTTGGAGCCCGCGATATCGTCCACGTACGCGTGATCTCGCAGTTCCTGGGCTGCGTCCGGAAATTCGACTTGTGAGACTTTGGCTAAGTAATCGATGGCGTTTGAGGCGATATCTGGTGCTGGCTTGTCGCCGAAATTTAATCTGAGCCATTGAAAGACTGAAGGCGTTTCACTTTTCTTGCTTCTCCACAAGAACCTATGGAAAACTTGGTCGTCAGGGTTCACTAGGACTTGATTAAACATTTTTCGGATATCACCCGAGTAAGCCACTTCGTTCCATCGCCAGCCCATAAGTACATTGGGAAGACTGTCAATGTAAATAGGTCCTTTCTCGAGGTGATCGTTCAGGGAAAGACCGTCGGGACCCTTTGAAGACGCATCGAAAACAGGGGGGACCTTGGTGGTTTTCTCTGGTGTGAAGACTGCTTGTAACGGCAGATACCATTCAGGTTGGCTGTGATCAACTTCTTCTGTAGGAAATTTAATTATGAAGTCTTGTTGCAACAGCTTTTGGACTTCGCCATTTACGATTTCGAAGCATCCTTTTCTCTGGAACGATTTCTCGGCAGACTGCATTCTTTTGAGGGCAATGTCATAATTGCTGCGTTTTGGGGGTCCATTCTCATTCCAAGGCATTCTTACTTGGATTCTCCCATCTACCAATGTAGTTGAATCAGACAGCGACTTGACGAACTTGTTTTCTCGTAGCACGTTCTCACTA